TAAAACAAACAGTAATTATTTTTCCCAATTCCTTATAAATGGTTTCATATGTTGACTCTATATTGCAGTTTTATACTTTAGTACTACATAAAAATGTATGTATAACTAACTTACTCTAACTCTAACTTATGTATGTATATGTGTATATATGGACATTCCATGGATTTTATCCTTCGAAACAAATGTTTTCCATTTATCTATAATGCAAAAATGATATATTGCTGTCAATGGCTATCTGCTATATAGATATATCCTTCCGCTATCTGCAACTTTTTAATCTGAATATAATATGGTCAGTGTATACCTTTGCATATGAGAATATATTTTTTAAATGCTACACTCACTTTAATTAAACTACGCGTATAATAACCAATTAATAAAATTATATCAAGATTGCTTTAATTGGGTCAGCACAATGGAACACTTAATTGTATGTGATATTTTATATATGGGGTCGTGACTGTCAAACAGACTGTCAAAAATATTAAGCCACAAACTGATAAAACTTAATAAATAAATAAAATGAATGCAAAACAAGCAATGCGTTTAGTAAATAAAACAACGGCTAACAAAATATTTACACATGCGCCATATACTCCATATATGGTAGACGATAGCAACAAGTGAATTCCGGAACGCCAACCGAAAGAAAGTTGTCTTCAGGCCAAACTACATTGAACTAAAAAAGAAATCTCAAGTGTGAACAAACTCCTTTGGGGCACCTACTAAGCGACACATTTAAGCTGCAGCAGGCCTCGGGGTCCTGAAATGAGTGCAACTTAATTTTATGCAGCCACTGCCATGGGACGAGCAACGCAGTCAAATGTTGCACGCAATGTCACGATTTAACAAAATATTTTACGGAAAGTGTCATGAAAGCACACCCTCAAGTTAAAGGAGGCACACGCACGAATTGCTGAACCACTTCAATTTGAAAATCAACAGCACCGCAGTTAAACGCGTCACGCATGCACAGTACGCAGCATTGTCCGTCCTTCAGTCGCCTTACTGGGTGTTTGTCTGTCTGTAGTCGGTCCAACGTCCGCCGCTGTTACTTTGTAATACCTCAAAGTACAATTACACTAAGTGTTGCAAGTTTTGTTCCTACAACATCTCTGCTATCTCCATGGCCACGGCATCTCTTTAGGCATCTCCATATTTTAATGCAATTTCTTCAATGTTTTTCTTGTAGTGCAAAATGAAGGATTAGCGGCACGTACCGCCACACAAAACGGCGCGCGGCGTATGTTTATGTGTTTATATTTTGCGCGCTGAAAGTGACGGAAGCTCCCGCGTAATTCTTGCTTAATGTAAGCCTGTATCTGGTTTTCGTTTATGTGGTTGGGCTATTTGAATTAATTCAGCACCGCAGCGTCACTTTCAAAAGCCTTTACGCTGATGACTTTTCACTTGAAATTAATTCGAATCATTTTTCTCGCATGCTGCACACTTTTAGTATGCATAACTGATATGCATGTGCCACATAAATTAAGTGCAATAAAAATAAAATTGCAACCCAACTTAATAAATTTAAAATAAAGTTTATTTTTTGACAGTGTTTTTAATTAGACTTTTATTTATTATTATTATGAGTTTATTTACAGTAACGGCTTGATTGGAACACATTTCGCATCAAACATGAGGTTATCTGCGATTATTTCTTCTTTTCAGCTACCTACTTCCCAACCGAGTTCATGAGATAATAAACTTCCTAATGCAGTTTAATCTATGATCTTCAAAAATATATAGAGTACATATAACTCTACTAAATAATCTATAAACAATAATCAGCTATTTCTCCTGACTCAGCTACTCAGCTACTATTTGAGATTGAATAAAGAAACTACTATGAGAATAATCCAAAAGCTACACTAGAATTATTTATTTAGTGAATTACATGTTCAGTTCACTGTATGAATTGTTGGCATAATTTGTTTAAATAATACAAACCGCATTTATCAGTACTTCTTTGAGCCGACTACCGCTTCAACGTTTTAATTAAAACTAAAATATATAAAAAGATTTTCCAATTTAAATTGGTATCTTTAATCACTGCTAAATGCTATGTACTACACATTCGCCATACAAAAACCGTACTACACACTGAGTGCCTTGTGAAAGACTCATATAATCTCAGTTGTGCTATCTGTCTTGCCTATCTCGAAGAAACTAAATTCTTTCTGCACACACAGTGAGTGAGAATGGATTCGCAATTGGTAGCCTGAAGAAAAATTTAGTATAATCGATGTTTTTCATATGGAGTGTATTAGTTTCTCCATCGCCAGTCGATTCATTTTCTCAATCGTTCGATTTTGTCACAGCTATAAAAATATGCATAATATACACAGTACTAAATAATCTTAAAGAATAATTATAATATTGCTGCAACATAAATCAAACATGTAACAGACATATCGTCACCTTAGGTGATTATTTGTAAAACTATAGTCGATTATGGAAGCAGCTCTCTTAAATCAACAAGAATTTGAAATACATTTACAGCAGGTTTGGAGTATGGGTAGTTACACTCATGCCAATTCAAAAACTAGTAAAATATAAATCTAAAATATAAACCACAATTTACCGAAGTTGTGATAAGTATGGTATATGCATCCTTTATATTAAAATTTGATTTACAAACATTTTAAAAAATATTCTTATTACGTTGAGGCTAGTTGAGTCAGTGCACCTGAGCACTTTTACTCTCTATTAACTGCGAGGTTTCTTCAAAACCCCTCTTTGCGCCTTGACTGGATTACTGTTTATCACTTCATCAGACTAAGAAATAATTGAACTCAGATCTGCATACCTCCCCGAAGAGCCTGTAACCATTCTGGGATTTGATAACGCGGTGTTGGTGTTGTTCTTTATTATTATAATTGTTAGAGGATGTGGCACTGCGACCGTCGGGTCAATTGTGCCTCCTTCTGGGGTCTCTAAGCTCTGTTGCGTCAATAAAAAATAGAATAGAACTAACTTTTATTGCCTCTTCCGTAAGTATATACATTCCCAGGAGCCTATTCCGTATGTGCATTAGCGCAGGGCATTTCAACAGCACATATGTGGCCGACTTCTCATTATCTTCACAGAATCTACAGTTTGCATCTGTAAGTATACCCAGTCTTGTAAGGTGGTATCTTAGTTTACAGTGCCCTGTTAGGATTCCTGTGATGATTCTAAGTTTTTCTTTTGATAGGTTCATACAATCCTGATATCTCTTAGTGTTATAATAAGTGATTTGGATTATTTTAATTCTGGTATATTATCATCCTAGTAATCCTTTTTATTCTGATTCTACTTTATTGTTATGAGAGAAAGGAGCGTATTTTGTTCTAATTCACAAAAAGGTTCCGATCCTAAAATATTCTTTAATAGACACTATAATTTTTACTTTGAGAACTCTACATAACTTTTGCTATGAAATTTATGTGTTTTTAAAATAGAAGTTATTTAAAAAAATATACTAGATCATTGCTATATATTACATAAACTCCATATATATACTAAACAACGTATTAGGAAAAGAGTTAAATTTTTTTAATGTATTCATTATGCCATGAATTACAGAAGGTTAAGATCTTTCTATCAATTCAATTTAATTTCGCAAAAGAATGTTATATTTCATGAACTATTATTTATGCCAAAAAGTACCGGGAATCAGTCAATCAAACAGAAAATATTATTATATTATTCATCAAAATATATTCTAAGTAACTATATTATTCTATTCACTATTTATTAAATATATTTATATTTACTTTTTATTTATAGTATTTATTCCTTTTGAGATAATGTACTTAAATCCATTCTTTGGAATTGATTTTAGTACCCTCCTTCAATTCTTTTTTGATCGCTTTTGACTTGCTTTTATCCACTTCGGCTCAGTCGGAAGGCACCATTCTAAACTTTGTTGACTAGTTTGCATACTAAATTCGTAAACCAATATTTCATTATCAGTTAAAATACGTTTTATGAATGTGGTGTCGGAATTTACTATAATAAAAATGTCTACAACGACTTTAGCGACTTTTCCTAACATCTTTATATGACTGAGATTTGGCAAAAAATGCAGGTCTTTCAGCACTAGACGATCGGAAACGTATTTCATCATTTAAAACAAAACGAATTGATTTGATTTTTTCAGACTTAAACGAAAATGTTTCGACACCATTTCCTTAACTGCAACGATGTTTAGTTCAGATGAAGATGTTGAAGAAAGTTTACTTCTGCTCAAGTTTCTGTTATCTATGATATATATCTGTGATATGATATCTGTGATGTTATCTGTGATATGTTATCAGTGATAAGTTATCTGTGGCAAAAAAAAATGTCTATATTGTTTGATTAATTATTTATATGAGATATTGTGAAATGTTTTAATCACGGGGTATTCAGTCAAGCATTGGGTGCTAATGGAAGAAGTTAGAATGGTAGCAATGGTAACTTTTACAAATAATACATTTTCAATTTTTACTGTTGTGGACTGTGATATTCGTTTATTCAGCGAAATTCAATATATATATTTGTTTCAAAATTTGAATCTTAAAATGACTGTATTGTGTGCAAGGAAAGAGAACCAGAGAAATGTGTTGCACTAACTGTCTCAAATATTACTTTTACTATTTATATAATATATAAGACTCCGGAAATTATATTAAATTTAAACAATGCGATTTAAATAGTTCTTTCTAACATACGAGTATAATAAATCCTATTACATATATGAGACTTGCAGCTTTTAAACGTAATCCTTATAATGAATTTAGATGGTTTACGTTATAGAAGACTAAGCCTACTAGAATAATAATTAATTGGCACTGACTATAACTGAGTGAATTTAGTATTAAAATATAGTTAACTTTGAAAAACTATTCTTAAATGGATGTTTTTAATAAGGATTATATTAAAGGATTTTATCAAATATTGAATATAACGTGTTTTTTCTCATACATTGAGTTCTTTTATACTCGAATTTTCTTAATCTGTAAAACAAATACCGGATGTCGGGAAAAACGGTATATGCTACTCTCTTAGTCGGAATTCGAAGTCAGTGTCGTTCAAAGAATGAAATCAAGAAGTACAAACAATTAAAGAATGCTTTTAATGTAAGCCATAAAATAAACACTTATAGGTATTATTCAGATAAGGAGGAAAGCGAAGAAAAGGTATGTATGTGTCATTATCAAGAAAATTAATTTCATACCATTTTTGAAATTACGGGTATATTTATATTTTTTTAAATAAATATAGAAAAACCGGCTTGAGTTCAAAAAAGAATCGAATGAGCGCATTAAGAAACTCGAAGAACTGATTGAAGATGTAAAATCTATGAAGCCCTATACAGATTTGACCTTGGAAGAATTTATGGAATTACGGCCAGATATCCCTACTCTTATCAATGCAGATGGACGTCCTAGTTATTGGCCTCATACAGAAGATGAACAATCGCTCGAAACGCCAGAAATTCTTATACCAGATGATGATGCAATAGTAGCCGAACAACAGGCAAAAGGAACTGCAAAAGGTGTTTTTCCTGCAATGTCTGATTCATCTGATAAAGAGTCACTTATAAATGAGAACAATATTGTCGCTTCATCGGAAACAAAGCTTGGACAAATGCCTGCAAGTGTACAGAATGGTACAGTTCCTACTAATCCTGATCAAATGAAGACAACAGCTGAACTGCCTACAGCAAGAGAAACAGCTACTCCACAAATACCTGTAAATGTACAGGACGGTGAGTTTCCTAGTCAACCTGATCCAATGAAAACAACAACTGAACTACCTACAGAAACAGAAAATCTCACTACTAAATCAGAAACAACTCCTTCACAGGCACCTGTAAATGTGCAAAACAGTGTGGTTCCTAGTCAGTCTGATCCAATGAAAATAACAACTGAACTACCTAGAGAAGCAGAAAATGTTATTACTGCAGGGGAAACAAAGTCCCAGATAAAGCCTGAAAACAAAGAGGAAGTTGTAATTTCTTCACCAACTACTCCATCGAAACCAATAACTGCCTACATGCATGGAGTTGAGTGTGACTGTCCTAAGTGCACCGCTAAAAGGAAATTGAACCTTTTAAAAAGCCCCGATAATGACGATGATAACAACAAACAAAAATAATTTTATTTTTAGATTACATTATAAATTAGATTAGATTTTTTAAGAATGTTCTCTTCGTTTCTTATATTTTGATATGTTGTATATATTTCTATAAAATTTGATTGAAACCAGTGTTAAACTGGTTTAAAATTAAAAAACACAATCTTTTTGACAAAAAACGAAGTTGAAATGGTACGGCTAAATATATATATGCTAGTTAAGACCTGCTAAGTCGTAACTATGGATGCTCTTTTGTTTTTGAATATTTGAGAAATGGTTGTTTTCTCTATATTTAGCTCAGTAACCATTTCTCTTTCACTGCGGTATGGATTTAATCAAGTCGAACCTTAACTTTACGAATTTCTTGTGGATTTGTGGTTTGCAATGACTAATATGTCACGATATAGTAACGTTGTGATCGATACGGTACGGTTCGAGATGTGATCGAAAAAAATTGACTCAATCAAAATAGTTGTTACTACACAAATTGTTTACGCTGTATTGATAATCCATTTTGTGTATGTACGTTACAACAATACTCATACTACAGGTAAATTAAAACTGACTACTATAGTTCGATATTATGAATTAAAGAAAATATATAGTTAACTTTGAAAAAATATTGTTTAAACATATAATTTCTGAAAATAAGATTTATTGAAAATCGTTTCGAATCCGTACAATTAATGAAATTGTTCCACTTATATTTTTATATATCTTATTAATCTATAAGTTTAATTATTTCTGATGTCGGGGAAAAAACTATATGCCAGCCTTCTAGCCGAAATGCGAAGTCGCTGTCATCCAAAACAAAAGGACGAATTCATGAAGTTTCTCAAAATGCATGATGGTTATAAACAGTAAGTTTATCAGTAATCTTTACGAACTTCCGCAATAACTATATTGAAATAATAGACGTGTAGATAGGTTTCCTGAGTTTTTGCCAAAAATTGACTGGGATTACTTTCGTCGAAATGTACGCAAGAGCCAGATTCCCATGGTTGACGACTTCGAAAAGCAGTACGTGGAATTAAACAAAATGTTCAATAGCCGCCATGAATTAGACACAAGTCGTTATTACGAAAGTCTTAAAAAACAAGAAGAGGAAGTTCAGGTATATCTAGTTATTAATTACTATAATCTTCTGTTATTTTATATTCCAAACATGTAAAATATGTACTTTGTGTATTTAATATTAGCAAGAGATTTGCAAATTTAAAGAAGAATCAGATAAGCGCATTAAGGGTATAGAGGATGAACATAAACGCATAAGTAATTTGAAACCCTACAGAGATATGACTATGGAAGAATTTCAAATAGCACGCCCAGACTATCCTATATTTATTACTTCAGATGGACGTCCTAGTTTTTGGCCGCATACGAAAGAAGAACAATCACTCGAACCACCTGAGACACATATAGCAGATGATGATGCAAAACAGGAAAAGCAAAAACCACAAGACCCTGATTCATCTGATCCTTCTAAAAAAGTTCCACCCAAAAAAGCAGATAAGCCTGCAGATCCATCGAAACCAACGTCTTCGGTGCTGCATGGTAGTGAGTGTAACTGTCCGAAATGCACCGCTAAAAGGAAATTGAGACTAGTTAAGGATGAACAGCAACCTGCAAAAACTTCGAAAACTGTAGCACCAAAGGAACAGACAGATACCAAGAAAGCACCTACACCAGAAAACGTTAAACCCAATCCTGCAAAGACCTCGAGAGAGGAAGCGGCTAAGAAGTTAAGACTAATAAAGACGGACGAGAAGGATGACAAAAAGTCAGATGATGAGAAAACCAAAAAGGATGAAACTGCAAAGAAACCCGATAATGACGGAGATGATAAGAAACCCAAATAATATATATTTTGTTAATGTTTAAAATTCGTTTGAAAAACTATTTATATATTTTGTTTCACATATTTTGATAAATATATTGCAATTGAATTATAAAAAATTTTTTAAATATGGTTCAGATTTCACCAAAAACAGAATCTTCAACTTACAAAATATTTATATTGCTGTACTTAAAGAAGGCTTCTGAAATTATATACAAAAAGAAGTTGAAGTGTGTTTACAAGACATGGAAATTAAATAATTATTTATTTACCTATGGAAAAAATGATGTGTATAATCCAATTTTGATTTTTTGATTTTTCAGACTCTTATGATTATAATAACTGCTTTCACATCAGAAGCCTATGCTGTCTAAGTTGTCTTTAAGTATACAATCACGTTAAAAGCGCAATTTGTAGTGTACGCCAATAACCTGTCTGTCATATAAGCAATTGTTGAAATCTATTATAAAAGTACAATCATCCTTTAATCAAAAACACTGCTCTCAACCCACCCCAGGAAATTTAGAATATGTGGATCTTCGGTCATAAGGGTCTTTGTAGAAATGATGTGGCTAACATAGCACCAAAATCTTTAGCATATTGTTTATGCATTACCATCACAAATTTTAATTCCGAAAGTTTGGACTTTCGTAACATGATAAATGTTCATTTTAATAACATGAAGAAGCAAAATATTCAAACCTTTCAATATCATTATTGTTTTTCAATGTGAGTAGTACAAAACCCTACTTTCCTTGGATATTTCCAAACTGTTGTCTTAAGAAGCTCTATTCTCACCTCTAAGAATCGGACACACTTTGTCAAGTTGTCTTCAAAAATGTTGCAGCTATTGTGGTCTCTTAGCATATCTTCATTTCCTTGATTCCTATCGTATCATCTCCAACCAAAGATAAAGTCATTTTTGCCTTAATACTTCATTTCATCGTCTGGTTCGGCCTACTTCCGTTTACATCGAAACTATTTAATAGTTCCTAACAGAAAATTGGTGTCTGAATCTTATTTAGAACATTTCTTCCTAGACACCTGCA